GATGCGTTGAAGAGGTTTAAGCTGAGGACTGTAGGTGATGGCCAGTGGAGTTCTGTTGGTTTCTTTTTTGGGCCTGTCTTGTAGCAGGAGGCTTCTGGGTACACATCTGGCTCTGTTGATTTGTTTCTTTATTTCCTTGTGTGGGTATCGTAGTTTTGAGAATGCTTGGTGAAGATCTTGTAGGTGTTGGTCTCTGTCTGAGGGGTTGGAGCAGATGCGGTTGTACCTCAGTGCTTAGCTGTAGATGATGGATCGTGTGGTGTGTCCAGAGTGGAAGCTGGAGGCATGAAGGTAGGCATAGCGGTCGATGGGTTTTCGGTATAGGGTGGTGTTAACGTGGCCATCGCTTATTTGTACTGTGGTGTCTAGGAAGTGGACCTCCCATGTAGATTGGTCCAGGCTGAGGTTGATGGTGGGGTGATCCCACTGAGATCCCACTGAGGAATACACTAAGAAACTGCACCATCTACTCAGGACACTCCCTACACTAACACAGGAACAAATCAACATACCCTTAGAGCTGAATTTGAAGTACCTTAGTTCGAACTTACTGCGAGTCCAGACGCGGCAGGCAGGCTCCCCCGTTGATGCCGCGTACTCCTCTCGCCGAGCTGGAGTACTGGCGTCGACGGCGAGTACTTCTGGGATCGATCCCAGAAGATCGATTGCTTACCGCCGGACCCGGAGGTAAGTGTAGACCTACCCTGTGAATGGCTATCCAACTACAGAAGCAGTTTCTCCTCCCTTGGTGTTCACACCTCAACTGCTAGCAGAGCACCTCACCCTCCCTGATTGAACTAACCTCATTATCTCCATACTGATTTATACCTGCCTTTGGAGATTTCCATTACTTGCATCTGAAGAAGTGAGGTTCTTACCCACGAAAGCTTATGCTCCCAATACTTCTGTTAGTCTTAAAGGTGCCACAGGACCCTCTGTTGCTTTTTACAGATTCAGACTAACACGGCTACCCCTCTGATAGGTCAGACTTCAGTAGTCGGAAGTCTGACCAATGAGTTCACTCAAGAAATATCGTGAGTTGTCATTTTTAGTTACACATAACTTCTACATAATTGCAATGCGGTTATATTACTTGAATCCTAAGAAGCCAGAGATATTTAGTTGAAGAATTTGGGACTGAATTCCAGATGAAAATTGACAACTCAGGACTAATCTCAGCTGAGCTGTCTCACATGAGTTCAGTGGGAGGGAGAGGTGCTGAGCACCTAGACCTATCATGGCCTATCTCAATATTAAATTAACACTATTAAAACATGCTGTGTTATAACAGCAACACCAGCAGCCATGCCTTAAGGGTACTTATAATTCAAAAACACTGAGGGTTAGTGTGTCAGTGAAGCAGAAAGCTGACTAGACTACCTGATTTTCTGTCCTATTCCTTGTCCTGGAACAGACTAGAGCAATCTACAAACTGGACCAGCTGGCAATGGTACCCATGAGACTGGTGGTCAGCTTGATCCATCTACTCTTCCTTCCTGCCATAACATGCCTCCAATACACCCTTTATTCTGGGGGCATTGGGTAGGACACATAGGAGCTGGTTATTCTACCTCTACACCCTATGCTATGAGAATCCCCAGGAAAGGGGAACGTGACCTGTCTCTCCTCCCTTTGCGTCACTCAGGAGTGGGACAGAGTGGTGCAAAACTGAAAACAAGATGTTTCATTTCAATAGATGTCTTTGGAAGGAATTAAAAAGGCATTTAAAGCCAAACATTTTTCTTAGACCTTCATTGCCACATAACTTAAAACAGATAGTCTGGTCATGCAGTTCCAATGCAGTGTAATTCCAATGAGTTGCTTTTTCAAACTGCAGCATCCGTTTAAATTGTTCTGACTTTCAAAAGAATAATGACTTTATAACGCACAAAAACAGAAAGAGGGTGTGAGAGACCAGGAGAGCAGTGTATGGAGATTGTCAGGTAAAAATCTTTGAATCCATGTACTCACAATGCCCTTGAAAAATGGGTGTTCAGAAGCCACGGCTTTCCACTCAGCTGTGTGAAAATAATGTAAAAACACAAGTTTACAGTATGTGCACACAGCTGAGATGCTCAACAAGTGGCCAACTGGAAGAGGTATAGCCTTCTATGCACAAGTACACATAGAATCTTCAACTGAAGTGACCTTACTGTCATTGCCAATTAACACATGCAACTTCAGTCAGTGTTTTTGCATGTGAATTGATACAAGGAATACATACTTGGGTTATGAATGTGCTCCCTCCTACTACACAATGATACAAAGGATACATCTCAGACATACCTTGGCAATTGGAGATAGAAATTTCCAAGAGTTTTAGAAGAAGAGTTACCAAGCATTTAAGCAATTGCCAAACTAGTCCTTTGTTGATAGGCTTGGAAGGATTAGATTTTTATCAGTAAATGTTGATTTCACTGTACACACAAACCAATGAAAAATATTTCCATCTATAACAACTGAAATTGGCCTTATGTGAGTTAGCAGAGAAAGAAAGAATAACTTATTGACAGAGAGAGCAATTATATGAATTTGAAGGAATTTGGACCCGTTTTTTGAAACATTTGGATAAAGAATGCTGAAATAGCTCAAATAATGCCATAATTCCATTCCACCTAACCTCTCTGCTTTTCCCCCTTTCCCTTTTGCCTATTTGTGTATGTATTTTTATTATTATTATTACCCCCACTCTAACATGTTATGATCTATATAATAGTGACTGATTTTGTGTTGTCTGGGCTTGCAGTTTTGACAAATTGTAATGTTGTATAATTGGATAATTTTATTGGCTATCCTGTGAAATGTGTGGTATTTAGTAAAACATACATGCCGTAAGTCATTTACCTTTTTATATATTTTATTTGTTTCTTTATGAACATTAATAAAAATACTCACAAAAAAAGACAGAATTAGGGTAAAAAAAATTCACCATTAAACAATATATACTGTTTTATTTAAATCTCTTCCTACAATCCCCTTTTGTCTGTGTTGCCTATTTAATACTGCCTATACATTTGTTGGGGCAGCACCTATCATATTATTTGTATGTAAAGGGTCTAGGCCATTTGGTGACACTATATGAATAACAATAATTGTGTAAGTGTATCCCTGCCCTCTACTGGATGAAGTATCAGCCTTGTGATTATGTCACCACCTAGTGGCCAACCTCTAATGAGGACAGAAGTGACAGAGCATGGAGATTCTCCTTTCGGTCAAGTGGTAAGAGCCTGTATATTTGAAGCAGAGGCTATTAGCATGGATTTCACAGTCAGCCTTCACATAGAGCTATGGTGTGGTGTACAGCTGTTAACTGTGGAGTTTATGCAGCCATGGAATCATTACACCTCCTCCCACCACTTTCCGGATACACAATTTCTCGTCCTTCAGCTAATGAACATTGTGCTAGCCCTAAAAGGCTGACTTGTTCTTTTGCACATCAGCGGTTGTGGGTTTCTTTGGCAGCATGTCTAGATTACAGATGTGTTGTAAATGCAACAGTTCATTTTGTTTCATGATTCCACCCCTAAGCCTCATTATCCATGTTCTAGCTTTAAATTAAAAACACAAAAGTTCTTCACCCAGGACTCAGACAAAGCTTCTGCCCTATCGCACCTGCTACCTCAAACCCACTTTTTCCTCTTTTCATCACTGCTGACTTTTAAAATAAATACAAGACTATTCTACACATTCCCCTTCTTAGCTACACAATTTCATTTTTGATCCACCTCTTAGTCCCCCATTCAGCTTTACACATTCTATTGGAAAAACTCTTCTCAACTTTGTCCCTATTATTGGTCCTGGTTTTGTGCTGGGTTTAACAACTGTGTGCAAACATTTCTTCTACGGTCTAGCTGTATAGGACTCTAAACAGGTTAAAGCCATCTTTCCACAGCTACTGTCTCAGATGAACTATCTATAAAAAGCAAGAAACTCAGAAATATACCATGCATACTGCAAACAGTAACACCCCAGTGTAACTTGCAGCAGGGGGAAAAGAAAATTCCTTTCAGGGAACAATGAATAAAAATCACTTCCATTTTAAGAGGGAATACTTATTCTCATTACGTACTCAGCATTGGAAATCATTTGTTATTACTTTGCAGGATATTCTGTAAAGTTATTTTCATAAAGAAGCAAATATATGACTATTCAGGGATTCCTTGACATAGTAACAATAAATCCTCTGATAATTTAAATATTTTAATTATCTTCTAGTAGGGTGTAGGAGAAATTCCATTTAATAAGACATTGTAATCATGCTTACAAATAATATACATTGGATCCAGGAACAGAACAATATTTGTCTATGCTTCCAAGTTAATGGGAGACAATATTTTCAAGATGTACAATTTTGATTAACATGTAAACTATTTCTTCCTCTCAATAACACAAATGCAAATTCAGCTAATAAACATTGTGTTCCATAATATTTCATAAAGGACGGTTCCACAATGGTAGGTTGCAGCTCTGCTGCTGCTGCCTTGACAAGGGCAATTTGCCTCTGCTTCTATAAACGAATAGCTTCTCCTCTTAGTTTATTTCTCATCCTGCTTGGATAATCAGGCGCTGTATCTCTATGCACTGTTGAAAAGTTGGTGAAAGCAAAATGTGTCATTTTTTTTTAGCAAAGCAGATTTGAAAAAAAAACAAACCCAAGCAATACATAATGCAAAGCAGATACCTACTGTATGGAGTTGATGCTGATCCAAAAGACAGTGCAGTGGAAGCCAAAGTTTTCTAAATATTT